CCTTCTCGTAGTCAGGATGTCCGAGTAATAGAGGCGAGCAAACTCCAACATTTCTGTGGGATCCGATGTCGGGGCCACTCCTAGGTCAAACGGGTGGTCCAGCTCGACGACTTGGTGATGTGCTGTGCTCGGTAGCAACCTGCGGAAGGTCTTTTTGGTCAGCCTATCGTGGGTTATGATCCCTTTGATCTTCAAGGTCTCCTCCCACTGTGTGTGCTTATCTGCTTGAATTTTTTCCCACTTCACCAACCTTCTCGGAAGTTCTCGCCCTCTCTGCCGCCCATGTCTGTTCCGAAATGGGATGCTGCTCCATCCTCCTCTCTGCTTCCTCTACTGATCTCTTACACTCCTCCTCCTCTCTATTCCTGTCCCTGGCCAAAATTCGAGAGCAAACGTTCATCATGCCTGAAATAGCTGCTATTCCCCCGTCCCACCAGTCTGCTACCGAGGTGAACTGCTCTTTAGTCGAGCCCCATGCGTCCATGTACTCCTGCACCCAAGCTTTCAATCCCGGATCCACCAGATTCAATGAGTTCAACTTAAAAAAACCCTTTCCCCTTTCGCCCGGAATGTCCATTACAAAGTCTGCAGTTACCGGCTTACGGTCTGAGAGGGGGTGAGCCTATTGTCTGAACGATCATCGCTGTCACCTGTTGGCTTAGTGACTTCGAAACCAAAAAGTAATCCAATCGGCGCCTTGTCACCTCCCTTCTGTCTCTCCTAGGGTTCGCATACCACGTGAACCCCAACGAGTCTGGGTTCAGCGAGCGGTACGGATCTGTCAGGTCGTTGGCCTGCATCATTTCCAACAGCGCTTGCGCATCCCTTCTGGCCGCTGGCCTTGAGCCTTGCACCACAGCCTCATCCAGCAAGACATTCCAGTCCCCTGCAATGATCAAATGGCTTGCTTTTGGTAACCTTCCGGCTAATCTTTGTAAAAATTTTATTCTCCCTTGCAGTTCCGATGGTTCATATACCGTTACCAGCAACCAGTCCTCCTATCCCACTTGCAGACGGAACCAAGCCCACTTGCCCCACAAATCCGCCTCTGCATCAACAATTAGCGGTTCTAGGTCTCTATGTAACACAATCCCTACGGTAACCCCTCCTCTCGTACCTTGCGTCGGGGACCACACCTGCGGCCCCTCCCACCACTGAGCATATCTTTGCAGCTATGTTGCACGCCCGGCCGTGGCCGGGGGGGTCAAGTCGGCCGCGGCCTCGGCCGTCGGCCAAATCGGCCGGGTTCGGCCATGGCCGACCAGCCGAGTTCGGTGCAACAATATCTTTTTTCGATTTTCCACGTCAGGAAAAAAAAAAAAAAAAGGGCGTGTAGGGCTGAAAAAGCCCTACACGCCCATATTTTTTTTTTTCGTGTCAGACATTCTGCGCCGCGCGAAAAAAAAAAAAAA